CATTGACTTTTGTAACTGAAAAGTCTGATGGGAATGGAAAATAACTTATACAGTATTCTTTTGCATGTTTAGCAACCTAATCATAAGAAAAGACTGAAGTGGTGCATATAAATGTTGTCAAATATTTGAAGACTTTCTATGTCTCCATAAAGAGAAAGAGAATAAAAAATGGTTAACACAATTTTAACAGTTTCTCGGGTTATTTCTTTAGGGGAAGAAGAGTATTCTTCAAGGTATTTAGGAAATACCTTGCAACAACACATTATTTGCTAGAAGAAGGACTAAGAAAGTTGTCATGGTCTGAAAGTGTGTATCCTTCCCCCCATTGTTAGAATCCTAACTACAAAACAATGGTATTAGCATGTGGGGCCATTGGGAGGTAATTAGGTCATGGGGGTTCTCTTATGCATGGGATTAGTTCCTTTGTTAAAGACACGAAGATAATTATTTCACTCCTTTCACCATGTGAGGACACAATGAGAAGATGCCATGTATGAGGAAGCAGGTCAACAGATAATGAATCTGTTGACACCTTGATCTTGGACTTCCCAGTCATCAGAACTGTGAGGGATAAATTTTTGTTGTTCACAAGTCCCTGGGTTATAGACTAAGACAGAAAACCAATGCAGACAAGTGGGCTTACTGCTATAACAACTGTCTAAAAATGTGGAAGCAGCTTTGGAACTGGGTAATGGATAGAAGCTGTAAGAGTTTTGAGTTACATGCTAGAAAAAGCCTACATTTCCATACAGGCTTTTAAAGATGATTCTTATAAGGACCCAAAAAAGGAAAAAAAAGAGAGCTATAGAAAAAGCCTGAATCTTCTTAGAGAAATGTGGTTGTGAACTGAATGATAGTAAAAATATGGATGGTAAAGGCCATTCTGATGAGATCTCAGATAGAAATTAGAAACATGTTATTGGACAATAAAGGAAAGAACATTCTTGTTATAAAGTGGCAAATAACTTGTCTGAATCACATTTGTGATCTAGTGTTTTTTGGAGGGTAGAACTTTTGAGAGATGAAATTAAATATTTGATTGAGGAAATTGCTAGCAAAGTCCTGAAGATGTGGTCAGGCTTCTCTTGACTCCCTATAATAAAATGCTAGAAGAGAGAAACAGATTTGGAAAATTCTCAGTCTATCCATATTGGAAAAATTAGAAAGTCTATTTGAAAGAGAACACTGAAGATGTGGCCAAATTTGATATGGAGATTAGTATAAATTGGTCATCTCAGTAGAATCTAGGAGCTATCCATCGAGTCAATGGGGAGATCAGTCAGCCATTTAAACATAATCCAGGACCTATTTTCTAAGACAATGAAGAATGACCTTAAAGGTATTTGGGAGATCACTGGGGCAGGCCCAGATTATTAAGGAGGAAGGGAGATCAGTTTCAAAGGAGAAGCCTCAAATTCCCTGTGCTGTTTCACATCGAGTTCCACTCCCTGCACTTTGCTGTTGAACTCCTGAATGTGGCTCCAGCAGGCCCTTGATTAAGATGGAGAGGTAAGGTAAGAGGTGAGGACACAGCACAAAACAAAAATGGCAAGCTAGCCTGCTTTTGAGTAAGAATGAAAAAAGTAGAGGGGAGTGGGGAAAAGACAGAAAGACTGTTCAACATGGTGAGAAGCTTAGGAGACTATGGACAATGATGACATGAGAATCCCCAACAGTTGAGTGGCTGGGTGGTTTCAGAGCAAAAGTAGCCAATGTTTTCTTTTAATTATTTGTGTTGCTCAAATATGACCAAAATACAAGATATAATGCCTCCTTCAAGCTTTCAATACTTTCCATCAAGTCGTCAGAAAAATCTGCTGTATATGCAAATAATTTGAATGAGTATATTTCTTGATTTGGGTTTGTTTTGTTGGTTTTGAGGAATGGGACATGGAGTAGGGTGAGTTCTGGGTCTAACTGGATGAAGAAGAGAGAAATCAGACTTCCCTAAAAAAATATAACAGCCATGGGAGATGAAATGCAAATGAGGAGAGACTGTCCAGCCCCCGACACAGGAAATCACAAGCAGAGATTCACATTCATTTCAAGATAACAGACTGGATACATATGTGTCCCTTTCCATCCTCCTACATTCTACTAGGATCTTAGAAGAAATTAAAAAATAAGAGCAAAATCATTCAGAACTGGAAAAATAAAAGTGCCATGATCAGAGCTGTAATGCAATACTTTCCTCGGAGGTAGAGGGGAACAGATGGTTGGCAAAACAGCAGAGCAGAAAAACCCACAATGCCATTCGGCTAACAAATAGGGCATCCAGAGTCAGTGATGGTATCCAGAACCTCACAAGTAAATCTTAAATTAAAGGCAGCAGAGGTTTGAGGAAAGACATGGTCTGTAGACAGTGTGGAAAGAAATGTTTGCCAGGGCAGGTAAGCTAATTATCTAATAACCTTCACAACAGCTGACTCCAATATTTGCCCTCAGGATTAAGCTTCCATTATGTCATTGAAATGTGAGCTTCTAACTGGAAGGGTAAGAATGGGTAATGGAGAAAGAGAGGAAGGTCAGGACTTCTAACACTGAATATGCTTATGACTCCCATGAAGATAAGGAGCTGTGAAATCCAGAAGGAAAGCCACCTGTATCACAGACTGCACAATCATTGAAGCAAGTACTCCTAAATTCAGGGTTCTAATTATTTCTGCAAAATAAGTTCTTTGAGGTACAACCATAGAATTTGAGACATACCTTTGTAATGGCAATTACTATACTTTATTGTGATCTAATAATTATACAAGTAACCTTCCCTAGAAGTTATATCTCTGAGAAGGAAGGTGTTATTTTTCTGTCTTCAAGTGAAATATAATGTCTTGCTGTATTAGTCTGCTTAGGCAGCCCATAACAAAATTAAAGCTGTGCAGGTAACATGACCTTTCCTCAGTTTAAGCCACTGGAAAGAGAAATGCATTCTCTGGTGTCTGTTTATATAAAACCACTAATCCTGTTGGTTCTGGGCCCCACCCTTATGATCTCACTTCACCTTGATTACTTCCTTAGAAGCGCATCTCCACAGAGTCACAGTGGGGTTAGAGCTTCAATTTATGAATTTTGGTGGGGGACTCAAACTTTCTGTCCATAATATTCTATGCCTGGATTCTCCAAACTCATGTTTTTCTCACATGCAAAGTGAATTTACCCCATCCCAACAGGCCACAAAATCTTTAACTCATTCCAGCATCAGTTCTGAAATCTAAAGCCCAAAGTTTCATCTAAATATCATGTACTTAATATGTGGGTAAGCCTTGAGGTAGCATTCATCTTGAAGCAAAATTCCTCTCTAGCTGTGAGCTCACTCGTGGAACTACACAAGTTATGCGCTTCCGAATGCAATGGTGGACAGGCATAGATAGACACTCCCATTCCAAAAGAGAGGAATAGAAAAGAAGGAAAGGACGATAGGTCCTAAGTAAGTTCAAAACCTAGCAAGCCAAATTACATTAATTAGCTCTTAATACTTGAGAATGATCATCATTAGACTTTAAGGCTCAAGAATAATCCTTTTTTTTGGACACTTTGCCATTCCAGTCACTGGGGGAGAGGGGGAACAGTGTCACCCTATGGTTCTGTGGGGTGGCCCTCTTAGCTCTCTGTGCAGCCTACCTGGCCTGCCAAAATCGAGGAGGAAGAAAACTTGCCCTCTAGGACAACGGTGGGAGTAGTGGCCCAAATGATTTCTGAATCACTTTTGGGATCATTCTGGCCTTTTCTTAAAAAACAACACATGTTTGCAGCTGAGTAGCTCTATGGCCCTATCCTGTCAAGTCCCAGAAGTCTCACAGCCTCCCTTCATTCTTCCCATTTTATTCCTCTTCAGTTCAAACTGGTAGTATTTCTGCTGGGATAATCCAATAATCTCTGTGTGTTTTTTATATTTGCTTAGCAATTTCTTTTTCAGTTCCTTTCTCTCCTCTCACATTTTTTACCATAAGTAGTCAGGAAAGCCCAGCTACACCTTTGACATTTTGCTTAGAAATCTCCTCAGCTAAATACCCAATTTCACCGCTCATAAATTCTTTCACAAAAAACTAGATCACAATTCAATCAAGTTCTTTGCCACTTTATGAAAGGATTTCCTCATTTCCATCTGGGACTGCAGCAGAATGGCCTTTAATGTCATTATTTCTACCAACATTCTGCTTATTATTATTACTTATTCGCTAATAATATGAAAGTTTGCTTATCTCCTTTATTTCTGAGTCCTTACCATAACCACCTGCAAAAAGTCCCTTCAGGGTATAGTCTTTTTCTAGCATGTACCTCAAAACCCGTCTCTACCCATTATCCAGTTCCAGAGCTACTTCTAATATTCAGATATTTGTTATAGTAGCACCTTACTTCTTGCTACACAAATATGTATTTGTTTGCTCAGACTTCCCTAAAAAAATATAACAGGCTAGGTGGCTTAAATAGGAGAAATTTATCTTCCCACAGTTCTGGACTAAGATCAGTCAATGTGGATGCCAGTAGGGTTTGCCTTTTATGAGGACTCTCTTGCTTGCTTGCAAACATCTGCCTTATCACTGTGTGTTCACATGGCCTTTCCACTGTGTGTGTGCATGGAGGAAGAGAGAAAGAAAGCAAATTCTGGTGTCTCTCCTAACAAGGACACTAATCCTATCTGATCAGGGCCCCAGCCTTATAATCTCATTTAATCTTAATTACTTTCTTAGAGGCTTTATCTCCAAATATAGTCAGAGATCAGAACTTTAACATATAAAATTGATAGGAACACAAACATTCAGTTCATAACACTCACATATAAAAGGTGAGCAAAAATGTTTGTTAGTTAAGTGGATTAATGTAATTACAAGCTATAAGAGGTCAAGGAAATATTCCTTAATGTGTTTTTACATATATTTGACCATATTCTTAAATTAACAATCCTCAAAATGTTTCCATTTAGTGTTACTTTTAACCACATACATCATGAAGCATTTTCTAACAAGATGCATTTGTTAGAAAGAATGTTATATACTTACGTTTCTGTTGGAATTGTAAATGGAGTCATCTTATAATTCAAAAATGGACTCGAGATCTCAAGGAACTGATCAGGCTTCTTTATTATTATTTCTAAAAAGTAGTAGTTAGGAAGGGTGATGTACATTTAAAAAAGTATGTAGGATTGCAGCAGAATTTAACATTTGACACTGTACTGCTTAGATTAACTATTTCCTCAGCAAATTTTAATAGTTAAATAGGAATGTACAAAGACATAAGCTTTTTAATTGAAAGAGTTTACAGATCTTCCCAGTATTAGATTTCTTTTGTCTACTCTTCACAGTTGCTTTCCAGATTTTATGAAACAATTAAGTCTCAGAGGAGAAAGTGACAATGTCTTATCGAGTTATTACTTGGCATTTGCTGCTACTTCAAATTCAGGAATGACTATCTGTAAAAGTCTTTTACTAAAAAAGTGTTCTCTTCGTTAATCTCTACAACACAATCGCTTAGGACATGAAGAGGAAATGTGAACTAAAATATGTATGTTGTAGTAGTAGGACAAAACTGTAACAAAGTAAAAGTCACAAGTAAATAAGAAAGCAGCCGGTCAAAGAGGATTTGTGGATATTCCTAAAGGAGTCTGAAGTTGATCTAGAAGTAAAAAATTTTCCATGAATAAGAGACACGGTCTATGCGTTACCATAGAGAACACTGAAATTAAACATTAAGCAGTGACTATTAGGAAAAAATGTGAGGCTATGACACGGTATACATAAATTTTGTTTGATTGTTCTATGCTATCTTCTAAAATGATCCTCCTCTTATTCTCTGTTAATATTCTCTTTAAGAAAGACAATTACATGGTGAGCCTCTAGGTGGGATACTGTCATTAAGGAATCTCAACAATTGTTAGATGTTCATTCCCTGTTTATAAAAAAATGTTTACTTACATAGAATTATACAACAACCAGTAGCAAAACCAGAAGTTACCTGCATATCTGCTATTCTTCCTTTCATTCAACTATTCCTTGATGCTCTGAATAAACAATTGTTTTAAGAGGCTCCATACATTTAACTAAAATATGGCATTTAAAAATAAGGAATTTTTTTAATCTTTCAAGTGTTATATATACTGATCTTTGGTTCAAGAAGACAATAAAGAATAGAAAGAAAGGAAAAAGAAAGAAGGGGAAGGAGGAAGGGAAAGAGGAAAGGAAGAGGAAGGAGGGCGGGAAGGAGAAAGTCTAGGAAATTTTTGTAACCCAAAAAGCAGATGCACTTTGTGGCTACCAACAACCCACTACAGAAACTCAGGAAATGTACAGAATTGACTAAAATAATTAAACAGGAAGGGGAGAGGCAATTTGGTCTAAGTAGAAAGACAAACCGATCATTTTTTTCTCTCCATCCAAACCAGATATTTTTTTCATCTTTGTTCTTTTTTGGCAAAGATAACACATGATAAAGAAAGCTTTGCCACCAGCTGTACTGGTTGTGTCAATGTAGGCAGAAAGCAAATGTGAGGAAAATTACATGGTTAATGGTTGTATTTATATTTTTAAAATATAAATAACATTACGGTAGGAAGTAGTAGGCAAGAAACAGGTAAATATTCCAATTTATGTGGCTATTGTTGTCTTTGGATCACTGAGATTTGTGCATTTCACTGTACATTGGTTCTCTTGTCACCTGCCATGAAGGATTGGCCATTGCAAGTTGAATAGCCTGCAACATTGAAGTGGTAGCAAGAGCCATAGTTATTCAATGGCATTCCCACTACCAATTGGATAGACGTCATAATTCATGATTCATGGTGCCACCATGTAACACATATGTATATGCTTAGCAGAGATGCCTTTGGTAAACTGCACTATGTATGTTCATTGTGACTTTGCCTTTATTGTTCATTCAGTAACACACCTCAGTATGTAGGCCCTAATGCAATAACCTCTAGAATATGAATTAATAGAAAACAATGAGGTATTAGAAAAGACAGAGAAGAAATGCAATAGCCAGGAAATTAACACAGAAATATAATTAAAATACTATTTTGAACAAAAATAACTTGAACTTTTTGAAATCAGAATATCTATATAAAAAACATACATATGCACATGTATAATCCATAGGACTCCATTAAAAAATTACAAATGCTAAATTAGCTAGGGGAAGGCTATTATGTTGAACAAACACACATAAATTATGAGTTAATTTTCTAATTGCTAGTGATTCTTATTTTAATCTCCTCCCCTATACTAATGCTTCTGCTTTAAAGTTGATATTTTTATTTATGGTCTCTTCTCTCGTCATCTTGGTCCCTCTTCCATTCAAACTTGGTGTTTGTGAAAAAAGGAGTAAGAACGAAGACTTACAATAAAGCATTGAAGGAATGAGTTAAACATGGATTGTGTGGAATTTAAAATGAATTGTGACAATATGAACAAGATGAGAACAACACCCTCCCTTCCCTGAGCCCATGGGGACCCATTTATTTCTGAAGGCAACTGTCATTCACTAAATGGCTAAGGACAATATTAACACAGGAGCCAGTTCAGAGCAGAAGTTCCATTCCTATAAGATTTCTACACAGAAATCAGTAATTCAAAGACCATGCTCTACAGGATATGCGAGTGATTTCCACATTACACATTCACTCTGGTGATTTAATATATACAACTTGAGTTTTAATATTATTTGCTACCAACTACATTTTTATCACACTAATAGTAAAAGTGTCATCACTCAAAGAATAATCTTGCTACGACTGGTCAATTTACACAGGAATCTAACTGCTTCGGTTCTGAAATGTGAATAATCTTTTTTTTTTTTTGAGTTGGAGTCTCACTCTGTCGCCCAGACTGGAGTGCAGTGGCCGCTCCCGGCCACCATAGCCTCGACCTGCT